CTGTAACGCTTGCCGGTACTTTCAACTTATGTAAGCAATGTTATGTTTCAAGCTAGAACTACTTTCTTAAATAGCACTGAATGCATCCTGTTGATTTTGATATGTTGATAAAATTCTGTAATATCCAAGCCCGTTGCCAATTCTGGAAGTGTGGGGGGGGGGGGGAGGACTTTGGGGTCCAAAGTGGAACTCGTTTCATGTGTAACTTCAGTGCGCAGGGACGAAAAAAAAAGTCTCCAAAATATGTATTGGTTCCTTTATTATCACTGTGAACAAACATTTCTAGTAAATTACCCCTGGTAAGTATGAAAATGCTATTTCCGCATGTATGTACAGTTTTAAAAAAGCAATTATTTAGTGAGAGGCCATCATCAAATAAAGGAAAAAAATATATGTTAACAGGTGAGCGGAACTCCGGCGAGAGTGGGGGAGGGGGAGCTATTCGTTCGCACCCCACCTCCCCTAAACCCTCTGGCTACGGGCCTGACACCATTTATCCTTTGCTGAATTGGAAGTGAACATGTAAATTATATTTCAGGATTAGACACAAAAGTTTGGACGTGGTTTTAGATTTCAGGCAAGGCCAGTGAGATAAATGATCATTAAATATTCAAAATACATTTTGTCCATAATTCAAAACTCCTCTTCATTCAGGTTTTTAAAGCATAGTTTGGGTCAAAGAGGATAATCCTGAACCTTCAATCTTAAAACAAATTATAAAAGGTTATGATAACCTCGTTTATTAAGTCTACTGGTTGGTCCCGGCAATTTCAGGTTAAATTGCTCCTACTTCCCTGTCTTCCTTAGACTCCACGAGTTACTCCTGGTTCGATTTAACAATGAATAATAAAATATCTTCAGAACTACGAGGTTAATACTGTCAAATTGTAAACAATTATGTTACGTGCAACACTAGAGGGTTACATCCGGTATGAAAGTTGCCTCCTCGCCCCCGGAAAAATTTGACCCTCGTTCTCGGAAAGTGTTGGGTTTTTGCCTGTTTACCTCACTGTTTTATATTCCCCATAGGTAAGGGGATTCGAAAAGTGCACATTAAAATGTTAACATCTCGGTGTAGTACTTATTTCAGTTTTAGCTTGATCTACATAGATAGATAAACATGAAACCCAGAATCCTTGCTCGCGACTCTCTCTCACGATCTATTGTAACAGCTATACACATCTACGTTCACCTCTGACCAACGAAGTTTACACCAATGGTCGGGCCACCCACAAATCCCACCCGGTATTCCCACAAGTGTCGTGTTTCCTTTATAATGTCGTCACAATTAGTTATCCTTTATCATTCAGCGGAATTTATTTACTGTGAATTTCTTTCCTCACCAAAACGTGAATTTCAGTGAAGAAAAGATGACATAGATGCCTACTCACAAACAAATAAAAAATAATGACAGTACGCGTGCCTTAATTCACTTTGGATCTTTTATACTTCGTATATCCTCAGTGCAGGCGCTAGGGTGGGCCTCTCCCCCACAAATTTCAACGTGGCCCATCCAAGTTCATTCTCCCTAGCGGTTTAAAGAATCATATTTTAATTATTTTAACTGTATGATTTTTTAAGTCCCTAAAAGAGTCAACAAAAGCTCCACTGCCCCTCCCCCTCCTCCCGAGGGAGAAGAGTTGGAGCCGGGCCTGTATATCCTTTTTAATAACTGAATAGAAATGTGTAGTTACCACAAGTCCACAACTGTTATTGTAACTTGGTTCAAAGTCCGGGTAACTATTCTCTTTTGAAAATAGAGATAAAAAACAAAACAATATATAATTATCGTATGTCTTTTTATAATTTGTAGTTTTAATAATAATGTTGAGACTCGAAATGGTGTATTTAAGTGTTTTACACTTACAAAAAAAGAAACCTATCATTCTATAGGTATTTGAAGAACTTGTAGCATTTCGCCACAATTTAATTCTTCGTATTGTTAGTCAAAAACAATAATAAAAGTTCTTGAAGCTATGTCAATATCCAAATGTCAATGCAACTTTATATTGTTGTGTAATAGCTGAAAAAAAAAATAACACGTGCATTAAAATAGAGAAAAAAATGAAATAGATTATTCACAATAACAACATTTAGCAAAAAATAGGTAATAAACAAGTGCCTGGCCAGGACTTCACACCAATATTGATAAACAATTTATCATACATATTAATTTTGTTTGTTTGTTTGGAATTAAGCACAAAGCTACACAAT